AAGAGGAGGCGAACCGCTTCGGCTCTCCCTCTTACCGCGGCCCACAAGAGCGGTGTTCGCCCACCATCGTCAGCAAAATTGGGTTCAACATCAGTTCTCGCCATGAAGAGCTGTACTGCCCCCGCGCACCCAAATGCTGGGGCCCGCCAGAGCGGTGTTCGGCCATATTTAGTAGCCAAATTGGGATCATCTGTTCGTCCCACTAGAAGCCTCGTAAGATCTGGGAAAGTGAGCTCGCAAGCCCACCCAAGCGTTGTTTGGCCATTTTTGTGAGGCAAATCGGGGTCAACATCAGTTCGTTCCAAGAGAAGTGGCACTACCCCATAGCTCCCCTTTTCTACAGCCCACCCGATCGGTGTTTGGCCATCCTCGTCTCCGCAATTAGGGTTGCCATTTTCACATTCCTGAAGCAACGGTACCAGATCCTCGTTACGATTTTGAGCAACCCGTGAGAGTGGCATTCGCCCATTTTTATCCTTGCAATCAGGGCTAACATCCCCGCGCCAGGGAAAGTATTTTGCAAGGTGGATATTCCTGCAGCTAGTGGTCCGGGAGAGGAGTGTTCGGCCATTGCGATCGGCTAAATCGGGTCCGGCACCGGCTTCCTCTAACCGCGATATGCATGATTCTCCGCGCCCATGATCGGCAGCGTACGAAATTGGTGTCAGCCTATTGAGATTGCCAGTCCTCGGATAGACCTGTGCCCGTTCCATTAGCATCTTCACGATGCCTTGGTGCCCGTACTGGGCTGCCCCGGAGTAAGATGTTTGGCCTCGTTTGTCTACCAGCTCCGGAATGATCACATGATGCGCGTGCACTAATCTGATTAGCCACTCGTACACATTGCCGGCCGCCCAAGATAGTGGTGTTCTACCGTATCGGATGTCCGTCGCATCGGGGCCGACCTCCTTCCGCTCCAGTCGCAATGTCACTGCGTCCTCAAGCCCTCCTCCAGCTGCCCGCGAGAGTGGTGTTCTATCGTTGATGTCTGCGGTGTCCGTGTTGACTCTCCCCTTCCGTAGTGAAATCCTTACTACCCCCTCATGCCCATTTCCGGCCGCACATATGTGCCGTTTCTGGCCAAGGTTGTCCACCCAATCAACATCCGCATCCTTTCCCAACAAAAGCTTTATTATATCCTCCTTGTCGCTCTGAGCCACCCAAAGAAGTGGCGTTCGGCCGTTGTTATCCACAATGCGGGAAGTGGTCGAGTCGCTTCTCATGAGTAATCGTACTATCGACTGGCGGCCATTCCCGGCGGCCCACGAGGGTGCTGTTCGTCCTTCAGTGTCTTTCCCCTCGGCGTTCACTCCCCTTAGACCCAATATCATATCCACCACCTGGAAATTTACACCCATAATAACCCATGTTAATGGTGTACGGCCGGCGAAACCCCTTGCGTTTCTATCCCAATCTTTGACTTTCAGTAACGGGGTTGCAATCTCTGTAATTCCGAAGAATTCTGGGGCGTACAGTCCAGTATACCCAGCGGATCGAGCGTCATATCCGTCCCAAAACAATCCCTTTTCACGGTGTTTCTTTAGAAGGAACAACCTAGCCGATATGTTACCGAATTGATCGTGAAATTTGACCGCAAGGGATTTTCCCGTACTTGTGGTTTCCGTTCCGGCATGGGTCCCCGACTGGTGAGATGCGTATTCAAAAAATGGAGTTTTTATCGTATCTCCGGAGGAAGTGGCTGATAGATCCTTGATGGACCAGAGGTTGAGATAGGTCCAACACACTTCTGCGATGGTTCCATGGGGACTCGAGAAAATGATCGAATGCTGACATAAATACTCTGGCAAGGTTAAGTGTATCAGTGGCACCGCCGTAGCTCCTTTTTCGAACGCTATAAGTCCTAGGCAGTAGCCTAATATGGCCTGAATCGTTAAAGCTTCATCGGGATTCTGATAGATGGACCCAATTTCCACTACCAGGGCATGGCAAAGTTCATGGACTCGTACCGACCGCCCGGACCGAGAAACCCACACCAATGCTCGCACGGCAAGCTTCGACTGATTCTCACCCGGCTCCTTTGTCCGTTTCAAAGTGTCGGTGTAAGCACCTTCGAGCCCCGGGCCTCTAGCCACCTGTTTGAGCTTCTCCTTCCTTGCGTCTATTGTATTCTCTCCCAATATCGCTATGATATTCAATGAAACTAGCAGAAATCTAGCAGCCGTTAGTGCCTCATGATTGGCTATTCAAGAGAACTTCATCTACGTACATCTCCGATATCGTTTCCGGAATCACTTTCATGATATCCCGCCTGAGCTCATTGTCCATCTCCGCACGAAGGGCGTCATCCCGCAATCGCATCTCTGGGAATCGTGTGATATCCTCCTGCACCGGTTTGAATGGTATGATCTGCAGATCGCTGCTGTAGTGTTCCCCGAGCTCAGCCTGAATATTAGGCCTTCTGGTAACAAATAGGCGAATATTTGGCGAATACCTAACCATAGAGCGTAGCGAATTAACCAGTTCGGGCCGATACTCTGTCGCGCATTCGTCTAGCGCATCGATCCAAGCAAAAGCCCGTTTCCGGGACTGGAGGGCCGCCCATAGTAGTTTGAGACCTCGACCGTCTTGACCGTGCTTCGCCTTCTGAAACGCACCATTAATCTCCACAGGAATACCTTCCAGCCCGCACACTACCTGCTTGAGAAGACCACCCAGCATCTGCGCCGTGACTTGCGATTTTTGGGCCCGGGAATTGCGATAAATATAGGCGACAGATACACTGCTTCCATCGCTCCCATCGCACAAGCTATCGATCACCACGAAGCTGATATTATTGTTAGCGATCCATCCGCCAAGAATTCGCTCTCCCTTACCCGAGATAGGTCTTTCCTACACCCCGCCCTCCACAACACAGCTGAGTCTGATCGACAGACCTAACCCCGCAATCCCCCCTCTTCAAAAATGGGTCGGCTCGTAAAAGCCATTCTCCAATCCCATCGACCTTGCTGTGCCACACGTCTCGGTGTCTTTTGTCTTGCTGGGTTCCATCTGACTCCTGCAAGGATAACCACTCCAGTATCTCCCGGTTCCGATACATTGCTGATACCGCAGGGCAGTTATTCCATGTGTTGCTAAAACTATCGTCCACATTTCCACAGTTAATATTTCCGATTCCGCTAGAATTTCCGCTCGTTGTATCACCCATGATTCTAGAAGTCGTTTGCGTATCGTAAGGTTGGTACCGGATGCGGCGAGGATGATGAAGAGTTTCTGAAGGCCGGATATTGCTCAAGTACGAGTAGGTTTTAACTAAATGCAGGGAAAGACGGCAGAATCACCGGCAGGGCCATGATATCGAAAATTCACTTCGCCGAAAAAGGGCGAGCAACAACACAGCGAGATGCGGGGCGCTCAGCCTCGCTAAGAGACATGAAAAACATGTAAACACCCGTTGCCAGTTAGCGCTTGATCTAGTTACCCGTATTCGAGTTTCTACATGTCGGCATTGCGCACGATTTACGATATTACAGACAACCCAATCACTTCTGTGCCACCCGAAGCCAGTGCCCGCTCGAGTATACGAGTACTGTACTGGCACTTGTGTACCGTATAGCTTTAACTTAACTACGGTAATCCAAGACAGCGATGTCGTACTGCCGAACCGGAGAGTGTCAGTCTCACCCGCTTTCCGATTTCCCACTCCCCCGTGACCGAACTACACTTACCAAGGCCACCACAATTACATTGCGATCGCAGAAAAATTCCTCTATTTTAGCGGTATGTAATAGCACTTTGAAGTTTGCAAACCTCCTCCAATTACGAGTGCCTAGCTACCCATGTTGGGACTGCTCAATCCTTTGTTTGAAATACCAAGATCCCCGAGTGTTTTTAAAATCATCAAGTATGATATGAGACTACTTACCACAATCGAGACACCTTCCTCAGGACAAACCCCCAACTCCCATCCCCCGATCATAAACACCTAGACAACAGAAGCTGGAGAGCTTCATCCCGTCCCCCTCTGCACATGATATGATGGTGAAAGAAAAACTATCACTCACTCATCAACAGACCTTAGATCATAATCCCCGCCGTTGAGTCGCACTTTTCGTCCAAAATCTTCGATCCGCAAGAGGAAAGTACCGTACCGTGCTCGTGGCCTAACGACCCGTCCCCATGACAACACCACTTGCCCGCCAACTAATTGGAACCTCAAGCAGGAGAGTTAATAACCCCAAGCATCTCTCTCGGGCACTTTCTCCTGGGTAAGGAGCTCTGAGGCTGACAACTTTCGACTTGGAAATTTTCCACAAAAAAAAAGGAGGAAAAACCGTCGGGCAAGTTTCTGGCATAGTTAATATCCTAAAGCAAGAGTCAGTATTTCATGACTACTACTACCCTACCAATCATCAAGACACGACCGAGGACGAACGCAGTGAAAACAGGAGGAGAAAAGTGCTCATGGCCGCAAGACTCTTTAATGCCCAAGTTCGCTTACGCCGTAGACTACTACAACGCCGCACAGTCCCCAGATTCCTTCTAGGGGACAAGGTTCACGAGTAATTACTGCACTACCACAGCACCAGACCATTGTATCGTACTGTCCACTTCGGTTCCGTGGTTGTGAAATTATATTCGCCCGCTTCTAGAGCGCCGTACTATACTATAAATTTTGATAAAAACTCCTCAGTAGGAATTTCATCGCTGTAACACGGTTCTCGTACTAGGGTGTCGGGGTAGAGGGGGTATGGTGGGTGGGCGGTCTTGATAGGCTTTCCCCGATGACAGTGCCGGTCGGTACCGGTGGCCGGGCATCAGGAATACCTGGGGGATCAGAAATGGTTTGCCATTCTTGTACTGGTAATAAAACTAATCGGCACCTGTACCCGGGTATTGATTTAATGCAGGGATATTTGACGCTGCCGGTGTCACCACCCCTGCGTAGGGGGGGGAGGGGGGGCAGCAGAGGGTTAGGGATTTGTCTTATCCGTTGGAATACCCACATCCCGGGACTTCTATACGACATCTATCATAACCTTCTTGTACTGTACTGTAAATAATGATGCTATGATACTCATATACATTTCACTCAAACCATGCCCCTCCCCAAACTCCGGCAAAACAACACTGAGAAAAGCAACGAAACGCCTCTAATGCTTGCAAACGCTTAAATCATGCATGATACCCGTCACTCGCACCTTCACCGGGAAAACTCCAACTCGCCGACCTCCCCCCTCCTCATCTTCGCATCACTCCCGCGTCTGCGAGCGTGCTGAACTTCCACCTCGCACTCCCGTTCCATCCTGCTGAGCTCCCACTTCCACTGCTTTATACCCGCCTGCCGCCACGCTTCGTCCTCGCCATCCTGCTTGCCAACCCCCTCTTCCGCCGCTTTCAACCGTTCAGCAAGTTTCTGCGCTTCACCCCGCTTCTCGATCAAGCGCTGGAACTTTGTGGCGTCGCCAAAACAGTACCCGTACCCGTCGCAGTAGCACACGTGCTCCGCCGGGCAATGCATAGCTTTGTCCGCGTTCTTCGCTAGGGACGGGGAGGAGAAAATGAAGTGCCAGAGGTACTCCAACACTCTCCCCGAGACCTCGTCGCTGAGAGGGGTATCGGTGATCCATTTCCTCCAGGATATGTAGCGCTCCTTGGCATGCTGGGCTATTCGCGAGCGGGATACGGCGAATTGAGCGCAGCAGGGGGTGCCGAGAATGTTTGGGACGCCGCCGCGCACCATCTCCTCCGGGAAGAGCTCCATGAACGAGTCGTACATGACGGATTCTTCCTTCTTGAAGTCGTCGTATTCCGTCGAGTTGGGCTTTATCCAGTCCGGGCAGCCGGGCTTCCAGTGGCAACGGAGGTTCATGTATCCGTGCCGTACGACTCGCCGGTAGTTCATCTCCAGGAGCATCACGGGGGTTGAGGATAGTTGCAGGTCGTTATTGTGCCAGGCTGTCGAATGCGCGTGTGTGAAGATTGCAATGTCTGGGAGGTTATCGTAGTGCTCTATTATGTAGGTCAGGTACGCCTGCGCTTCGTGGCCCTTGTGGCTTTGTTAGCCTCCCACGAGGGGGAACATAGAGAGCTGCGGGGTTTACTTTATTAATTGGGACAGTCCGTGTGCCCGGCAGTACACTGTCTTTATCCGGATCAACCAGGTATGTCTTGGGTACTATATTGAGATCCTCGGGGAGGTACGTGAGCCATGTGACGTCTTCGCTGCTCGTGCGCGGGAGAACAAGATGCTTCACAAAATTGTCGGGCATGAAGACCGAAACGCCATGAGGAATGTCGTCCGCCGAGATCGGAGCCTCTCCACCCGCATGTTCTGGCTCACCTTCCGGGTTCGATACAGCTCGCTCCACCGCTCGGGAGGGGGCAAATCTACCGGCGCCGCGATGGAATTTTATACTTGAGGAGTCGGGTTCCGGTGTCGAGCCGAAGACGTCGGAAAACGTGCACAGCACGAAAAAGGTAACGACACAAGTGACTACAATCGCTCGAATCTGTGAGACTGTTGAAGCCAGTATGGTGACTGGCATACTTGGCCAGAAATGTGATGGTCAATGACGATAAGGTCCTGATGTACTGTCGGTCGTGCTCAGAGTGCGGTTAGTCGGCCCCGGACATCCCCTCCCTTTGCGCCTCTGGGGAAGGATTGATCCGATCTTTAAGCACGCAAGACTCGATCTAAGTAAGCAATCCGGCGTCGTCCGCGGTCGTGCAATGTAGTTGACGGGGGAGATGTCGAAGAATGGCGACGCGAAGGAAAACGGGAGGATAACAACTAATGTGCCAGCGGAGAGTGTGTGGAAAAGCGCCGTATTTAAGTGAGGGAAGATGGAGCAAGCGAGACAAAAGCATATAGTCGCACGCCGACCGGATTATCAGGAAGCAAGCTGAGCATAAAGCATGCGGTTCGCGGTCAGGGTTGGTAATCCATTCCCCGGGTTTGAGGTTGTGGGTATGGTAGACAACATCCTTGATTTTCCCGTTCTCCAGGTTCCTCTGCGTATCCGCAGTTCTATCCAAAGCTTGGCAGAGAGCAAGTGGCTAAGATTTGGGTTAGGGTTTTCTCCGAAAGAAATTGTGATAAATTTACCGCATGATACCGGAAGTGGTCCGCTAATTTCGCAGCACAGCCCAAGTTGAGCCTCACGTCAGCTTTTAGATAGAACCTGCTAACGCAAACCCCTTTGTCCCCAAGTCACGATTTCCTGATAAGTCACGCGATAATTCAGAGATATTACGACCGATTCTATAAAAAAACGGTATCTAAAGTCGTTCGCTGATATCTCTACAACGAAGATTCCTTACATGCAGGCGTGGTTCTGGAAGAGCAGTCCGGTGGGCGGAAGATGGTGATGCATTAGGGTAGCTGCCCGCCTTGTGCATAAAGGAAATAGGCATTGGGTTTGGGCACGCTCTCTATCAGCCCAAGCAACAAGTTGATGCACTGCTATCAGGCCGTGTTTTGGATAGCTTTGCTGTTACTAAGCTTTCTAAATTTAGTATCATATCATAAACCGTCAGATATTGTCAGGTGGCGAAAATAACTGAACGCGATCCGGGACACGTAGCAACGGGAAACACTATTAAATTTTCCATGTACTTGTATCAAGTCCACCGGGCCGCGTTCAGCTATTTTTGTCACCTAACAGTAGAAGCGGTCGGAGTCTGGCGCGTTGTCGGAGCTCTTCTGCGGATCCTCTGGCTCATTGCTTCCAGTCGTCCAGTCGGACGGCCGTCGCCTGCAGTCGACTAAAATTGGCCGATGCACCGAGTGAAACGCACACTACCCGGTACCGGTAATACTAATATGCGCGTCCCCCCAGCCACCATTCAGCCACTACTCAACCACATGGGGATGTCTGTAACAAGGAGGCGAAACATAATTGTGGATTACACAATGTGGCCCGAGTGCCATCTGACGGCCGCCCACCCCGTCAAGCCAAGGTTGTCCACACCGTCGGAGGACAAGACATTCTCGTCCTCTGCCATCCTCATCCCGTCCCAGACGGACTAGGCGACCAGAAACACTCCTCTGACTTCCAGCTTAGCGATCAGCTCAGATCGCTTCCACCGCATCTGCAAGCCCTCCTCTCTACCGATATTATGTTCTAAAATATCTCGTGTCAGTGGATGATGACTTTTCCCTGGTATCACTACCCAGCCCCATCGTGAATCAATCAATGCGCAAGGCGCTATTTCAGCTCAGAGTAAACAAGGAATTGTGACGTCGGCAATCCCATTTCCCGAGCACTTTGCTGCGTGGCTACGGAGTAACTCCTCCGCTATCCGAGCAAGGTATCAGTACCAACCACTTTACGGGACAGCACCACTCGGTGGTGGAGTGAGGTGACAACCGGCTTCTATTCCCCCCCCGATAGAGTGCGTGCATGTCTTTCAGTTACTTGTTCCCACAGGGGAAAAGGAGAAAATGGCCCTTTTCTTTGAACCCCTGGACCGAAGGTACCCCTTGAGCCGATGAGGTATGGAATCTCCCTGCTCTTCTAACCCCGGTGTGGCCCAGCCACTTTGCCTTACGAAAAATTTGAATAAGCTTTTTTTCTTTCCCTGCTAGGGAGTCGCCTAGACGCAGCCCAACGTTACGCTATGAAAGGCGGAAATCAGCTTGTCTCATCACACTATCGTCACACTACTTGTACCGGATGAACTTTCTTTCGGATGGTTGCATACGCTATTTCCCGAGGGTGCCGAGAACTTTGGGAAGACGACGCCGATCCTACCGCAAATATTGATTATCGGCATGCTCTCTGGATACGGTAGTTTACGGGCTGAGATGTGGAGAGGCGCAGCGGATTTCCCCGATACAATCCGGCAATCAGTGGATGTAGCGACTGTGATGTACTGGTATTAGCTTCGGGAATTGAAAGGCACCCGGCAAACTGACAGATGCTTTTAACTTTCGATAGGGCAGCATGGGAACATCTTTCGGCTTCTCTCTCCACTGTTTATGCGGTGAGCCAAGTCCGTTACTTGAGGGTCCCTAAATGCATTGTTTTGGGGTAAATGCCCTGGCTATCGCTATGGCTATCATGGTAGGGATTAGTGATTCATGCGAAAGAGGAGGGGGCGAGTGCTAGCAATACTCGAACTCTTGTATCATACCCGAATGCTCTACTCGCACAGTCGGACCCCGCTATCTCGGTTGGCCCAACATCGCGGTTTTCACCGGGCATAGTGGGGTACCGTATCATATCTAGAACGGTAGAGAGAGCGTGCATTTATGGTTTTAGGTCTTGAAGAAATTAATAACTATTTTTCCACCCCGTACTGTGATCAACAAATATCGCTGTGCAGCACCGATAGCCTTAGCTCCCTGTTTAATTTGCGCACGCGCCCTCCTCCTCCTGACTGGAAATATCAACATACTCTACCTCAATGCCGAAGTTCGACTTCAAGTCTGCAATACCGCCTCCCTTATCCGTCTTCTTCCCCCCCATCCCCCTCCCCATACGCTTTGCCCCCCTCACACGTAGGACAGAGCATAGCCGGTAAGATAGTAGAGGTAAAGGGTTCGAAAATCTGGTTAGTCGTTGCCCAGCCCAGATAAAAACAATGATGAGATATTCAAAGAGGGAGCTCACCGGTGAAGGGAAGAGAGGGTTTATTTTTTTTATTTCATTTTTTTTATTTCATTTTTTTTACATGGATTTCTTCTGCCCCTGCTGTTTCGCCTCTTTAGTAAATAATACTCCTCCCTACATTATATGCGCCAGGGGAAGATTTTCGAGGATATCATGCGAATCGGAAAGCGTCCTTCTCCCTCCCGCCACTTGAGAGTCCAGGAGAGTGCAAACGTCGCGGAGATTTCTGTACAACCCAGAGAGGTATGATATGGGTTCCACGTGACCCGGGATGTCGGGGTGCGACTGTACCGGTGCTGGTATATTATAGACGCTAGCTGAAAAGTCCCCGCCGAGCAGAACTTTTCCGTGGTGGAGAGTACGGTGAAAGTGGGGGGGGGGGGGGGTGTAATGTGCAATCAGGATCTGTGAAGGAGTGGGGGGGGCATTCCATCGGAAAGAGGTATTCCCTCCGACGAAGCTATATGTCGAGTCGCTGTCTGAGGGGGGTATCATGCCAAGATGAACAATATACTAGTACCAGCAGTTTTGGTCACAACAAGTGTAAGAATGAGGTGACAGAACAAGAAAAGTGCGTCGGAGATATTTACGGGGAAATTATAAATATCCCATACGAATCCGAGCACTTTGTGAGAAGCGGGCAGATGCGAAGTGAGCCGTTCGACCGTCAGAAGGCAGGAACAACGCAATAAATAAATAAAAAGCAACAGCCACAAAAACAATAAAAAGTGCCAAACGAGTGAGTTTCTGTGACCTCCGCTTTTGGTTGGTTACGAAATTGGGCTCATACGACTGTAGCGTTGTTCTAGTATTATGAGGCTTGAGGTTGGTTTAATACTGCCAATAGTAGCTGTGCCATCTGCCACTTCCTCACAAGGCCCAGGCTGAATCAGAAGTTAACTTTAGTATGGACTTGAAGTGTGATAACGGTGATGATCATGAGATGAGATATACTCCTTTTGTATGATGGTGTACCGGAGGCGGGGAGGTACGCTTACCAAGTACACGCGCACCACCGTGGCGCTATGATATGCCCTCGCTGGGGGGAGACCTTTACCGTATTCCGGGACACACTCCCTAGCTCCTTTGCTCGGCCTTTCCCGCGTCTACACGGCAGGGCTCAGAATCGCTGTGTTGTGCATTCCGGACTAGGGGATAGTTGACTAGAGATTTTCGGAATATTCCTAGTGCGGCACGAGAATATCGCACCAACGTGGCATACTGTCAGGGCATAATCAGGAATGATGGTAACAGTTGCCTAAGAACCGTGTTTGCTAGATAGTGGTTTTGATTTTTCTGGGCATGACGAAACAAGGCAATCTAGCTAGTACAGGTTAGGAAATTGGAAAAGGGAGGTAGGAGGAATAAGAAGGATGGGGGAGAGTGTGGCAGCAATTGTTTTCCTAGATTCTACACATGCATCTTTAGACAAGAATAGACGGCCTTTTTCTATAGGAGAATCTGTTTCAGAGATTCACCGTGGAACGAGGTTGTTTCGTGTTTCTTCTGGATCTTCCTTATTGATTTCAACTTCATCGTTACTCGTGAAGTGTCTTTCTACTCATTCTTTGACCCATTCTCAGGACCTCCGGGGTAAGCAGAACCTGAGAAGACCCGAGTGTTTGTCAATTCCACAAAAGAACGCAGAGGCGAGACAAGTCCTCAAAATACCCGTGCTCGGTATTGTGCTATACAGTACTCGTACGAGTGCGGCCGATAGATATATTCGTCACGTGAGTCTGATAAGAAAGTTTCGGTGCACCTTTTGGCTGCGGTTTCTCCTTAGATAAGGCACGTGATGAATATATTTACCGCCCTCGTACATCTCAAGTAGCGTTGTTGGCACTAAGTCACGGAATGTTGTGCCCGGCACAACACTATGTAGTGCCTAGGAAATACACATACAAATAAAATGATTTTTTCAAGGGGGGAAAAAAATGAGAAACTATCTACAAGCCCAATTCACACCGAATATCACCCATTTCCGATCCTTGTGGGTCCTTGCCCCGCTGAAGTACCCGAGTATTCGCCATTCATAATGCCAGCGACGCTAATCACAAGAAACCACCCACGAGAAGTATGAGTACCATGGGTAAAGCAGAATTAAAATGAGAATTAGCCATGAAATCCTCCGGTTCCAGTCTACCCCCCCCCCCCCTCTGGATGAAATGCGTGATGGAAGAGGGTGCGCTAATATCTACGTTTGAGGGATGGTTACTCAAGTACTATGTATAACACTGCACCCCTCTTCTTAAACCCCGGGAGTCGAATAGGCCTGTGTGAGGTTATCTCGGTTTCCGAAGGACTTTATCCTCTCTGATAAACACAATATTCGAATATCTCTGGATCCCTCCCTCGACTATTTGGTTACTCTTTTTCCTATTTTTCCCCTTTGAGTGATGTGCGCTGTTCTGGCCCCTGATTGCTATAGAAACCGTGGCTCTTCGCCCCCCCCCTCCATGCACGCCGCTCGGCTCGCTAATCGACCTCGCATGTGGTGGAGATGTGTGGTGAGGTGGGGTTAACAATAAGCCCGGGGATGCCCACTTACCGTATGATAACTACCGTACTTGAATACTGGAAAATGAAGTTTACATTGGGACCTTAAAGTCACCTCTCGGAGGACGATATGTCGAGTTTTTACTGTTTTGTTGTTCTCTCGGCTGGGGGTGCTGAAATTTTGTCTCCTCAGAGGGATAGGTTCCCCCTTTTATCCAAGGGGGAATTCTGACCCCTGTGACGTTCCAGTTTTCCGGTTTCGTTCCTTGTATCGACGGGAACGCCCAGCCTATTCCTTAGTCATGATCGATGTGAAGAGTTGATAAGGGGCTTTTTTAATTCTGTTGCGCGAATGCCCCCCGCTTCCATTTTTTGCGCCCTTTTCTTCCTTGCGGTAATGTTTAACATGGGTCAGTTCCAAGCGATCACTGATGAAGGCAGCATATCCGGCGAGGTCCGATAAGCGATCGTAGGTTGAAATAAGAAGGTGGCCTATGTGAATCTTGCAATTTGTGTTTGAACGGGAGTCCTGGGTGGTTTGTACTTGTACTAAGTATACAAGGTTAGGCTACTGCCCCTGATTGCGACTCCCAGACAAGGCAAAGGACTGGAGGCTTGTCCGAAGGTTTCGCTCTAGATCATAGTGCTAGTGATACCGGTACCACCATTGGCCCCGGCCGGCCTCATCTAGAGGTCGAGGGGAATTTTAGCTAGCTTAGGAAGAGGATTGGGGCCTGATAGATTGGGTGTGTGGGGCATTAACCAAAGCACTAAATCCTGTCTGCCGCTTACCGATGCCCCGGATCCCTTCAGCTCCATACGGGCTGAAGCTCAGAGATCCTTGGAAGAAATGCCATTCGGGTGGTATAATTTTGCGCGGACGGGGTGGCTTCTTGGCCGATATAATGATTAGATATATCTTGCTGACTTCCGCTTCTTCATCTTACACTTGCATTCTTGATCCGCTTCCGTCCATCCAGAGAGGGGGAGTCTCTTCTTGTGAACCGATTGATTATTGGCTACCTTTCAGGTGCCTTTCAACTCACACATGAGTTTGTCTTCTCCATCTTGCCCCCTTTCCCTTTGGGTCTGTCCTGGATATCGGATTATCATACAATCAGAGTCTATCACTTAGAGTAGAATTTTCTCCAGCACCGGTATGATTGCAAGGGGGTGTTATCACTCAAGGAATTAATTCGCACCATGTGAACACATAGAAACTATAAAAAAAAATCCGTACAACTTACCCTTCGAAGTTACCCCCTATCACCGTACCGCGAAAGAACGAATACAGTAAAAGGTAAATGTACCGTACCGTGACGTTGTGTGATGCCGGTAGTTTCCTCCCGTCCAGGTGCTGCGAAAATTCCTTTTGCCCTTGTCTCAAGTGCGGGCTGAAATTCGCCATGTTTTCCCCCTCGGATAGCGGTAGCCGAGAAGGGGAACTCCAACGTCATTTCTCGTTTCCCATCCACTCGCATTCCTACGATACGCTACCGCTAGGTTCCAGGCAAGCTTTCATGACCCTATACCACACTATACGGTATCCGGAAAAGGGCGCCTTCTCAGGAAACTCCCCTGTGAAGCTATTGGGCAATGGGGAGTTATTATAAAATACCGTACGCGACACAGGGTGTTACTCGTGGCACCGCGCGGGCTGAAAGAATGACTGGTCCCGGGTCAACTCCCCCCGAGTGCTTCGTACCGGTATAGTAATCGTACGGAGGGCAGCGATACGGTGCGCCGAGTTCTCATATCACCGCGCAACGGTGTCTACCCGACTGGCAACTGACCCTGCTCAGCTCAGCTCAGGATTTATATTCACCCAACCCCCACCTGAGTATCATACCCATGACAAGTGACTCTGGACTCAAGGGCTGGGTACTGGCTGATACTTTCTCTGTCCCTCGTGCTGTACGCCTACCCGTGCCGGAACCCTTTCCCGAAAAAGACCAGCACTCGGCACAAAGGGTGGATCATTAATTTGTGGTACTCTACAGAGCAGTGTTGGTTACCCTCCTTTGCACACGGAATTTTGAAACACTGGAAAAAAATAAAAATCGGTGGCGGTTGGCTATGGTCATAATATGTTTCTGATCTTTAGTTCCCGCTTTATCGAATTCGGTAGCTCTTATTTGGACAAAGTCATGATACCTCTCTTGTGGGCACTACCGTATGGTACCATTGCTAACCAACCTCTCGCAAGAGTGAAGAAAATTGTCGGACAGCGCCATTCTCCTATAAAGAAACAGGGGTATTCGGGGTAATCACAAACTGCCAAGGGTTATTTAAAATCCAGCGCATTGCATGGATAGTTTCAATTATCTTTGGGAATTACCCACACAGGCTTTGGAAAACCCTTGTCAAATAAGCCTCGCTCTATACAATAACTACTGGAATCGAGATTACCTCCACAACACTGCTCCAGAACCCGCTCCTTTGGGGAAGATTTTCCGGTCAGCATCCCACTGGAGTCAACTGGCGGGGCTGGAATGATATCTGGATTCCCAGGAACAATGGGAGAAAGGGAGGACAAGTAATATGAATGTATTCTCGCCTCGATGCCAAAACCCTGGTTGGTCTCAACGCAGGTAGACTCGATATTTTAGTGTGTAACGCCGCTTGTCCGGTTACTGTCGCTTCTTCGCCCGGATGCTCTGACCCCTGCTCCGTACCACGGTATCCGTGAGCTACCCTTGTCCAAGTACCGTATTGTACCACCCACCCGCAGATCTTTACTCTGATCCCGCTCGGGCTAGGAATGATCCCTGCTCCCTTGTCTTGCTTTCCGTGCTAGTGCGATACGAGGACTCGTACGAGTATTGTAGCTGTGGAACCGACGGGTGGACGTCCGGTACCGCACTGCACAGTTCAATCTCGCGACCGTCAGAGGTTGAAGAGAGATGTGCAAGTAGCTCCTACAGTACAGTACAAGCGGTGCTTCCAGTTGACCGGCTGCCAAGTCCCCATCCCGTCCAGGACGAGAACCTTGGCGTCATCCGGACGGGGGATGCATGGACGGCAGTCGACTTGCAGTCGACTAAAATTGGTCTAAGGCGCCAATGTGAAATACACACATCTGCGCAGCCACTACCTAGCCACATGAAGATCACAGCACGATACCGGTAGGTTGATAACGACCCCCATGCGCCAAGGACGGCCGGTTCGGGAATTATTGGGCGGGTGATATCTCGTGATGCCTAATTGGTTGAAACGTGCAGTACTCGTGCGGTAGGACACGGGTAACTGATATTACGGGGTGAGGATGAGCTAGCGTTTTTCATCAGTGCTGGACGTTATAGCGGTAGGGCCCCCGCTCCAAGGGAAAGGGGAGATGGCGCTCCCACGCTCTGTTCCCTACCAAAACGCTAGCGTCACCCACCGTGGGTCTCATGAAATATCCCTTGGACAAAATCCAGAGTAGGGTAAGATTGCCGCAACTTTGGCGCGAACACAGTATGGCCTCAGAGAATGTCACATTTCTCATCATGCCATGTGATGGGACGGCACCCCATTCTCGACTCAGCGCAGTGCTTCCAGTGCGACAACCGGAACTTTATTCCCGGCCCCGCTCGTTCCCAGAAGTTCCCTCCGGTGATAATAACCACCTAAACATTCACGATCTCACTATAGCGACTCCTATGCAAGGTGCCGCGCAACGACGGAAACTTTTGCTCGATACGAGGGTCTGTTAGTGCAGTTCGCTCTCGCTCATGCCTATACCCGTTCAGACTACTATCCAATCCCCACAGGTAAGGTATGGGCCCGGGTCCTAGTTGTGCAAATACAGTACTGTCTCTTACTATTAACTAATCTACCATCTACTTCCGCCAACCCTGCGATCTCCAGATTCTGAGTCAAAAGCTCCCGAGAAGGATTAGTAATCAGTAATCTCACCCCGGGTTGTAAGGCCTGGGCGTCCAGTGTTTGTTGGATCTCATGAACCGGTATTTCGCAACCCTGTTGACCTGTCAGACTAGACTTGTCGTGAGTGGAACGGAGGTTGGCCGCTACGGGAATAATGGATTTCAAGGGTTAATACGGTACTCGGGCGTACGGGGAATTCGCGTCCGGTAACACAAGGCGTTTGCCGGCCTTAATTGCTCTAGTCATCGACGCTTCTCCTTTCGGGAGTGGACCCGACTTCGTGCCGTCACGGCCCCAGCTTTTGTTTGCTGGGATTGCTGTAGGATGGTCAGCACTTTGCTCTGGATTACGGGGAATTCGGTGGGGCGCATACCAGGAGGTCTGCAGGCAAGGCCTCTGAGAGGTGTGGAGTTGGCTTAAATTTACCTCTTGAACACAATTCTGTAGGTGTGAACGCCGGTTTGGTGCTGCACCTTTTTTCCTAGGTAATAAATTTATCATTTCAGTGCGGTCACCGGAAAGTTCTCACTGACTATCACTCAGATTTCCTAATATGGTTTAGTCTACATATAGATCTGACACTTTGTAATGGAGGTGGACACGACTTTTGGCAACACCAGAGCACAGCGTACTGTACCTGCGTCTACTTGTCCATTCCGAAAGTTGCCGGGGGGTCTTGGCGTCGATTATACCTGAGCCGTGCCAAGGCTTCCGGATGGCCGAGGAACCTGCAAGTGCCCTGCTATCGGATTTGAATGAAGAACCTATACCGGTCATAAGAACTACCGATGAGACGGGGTAGTCTATATAAAGCTCTGCTCTTCTCCCCCTCGGAGATCAAAGCACACACCTTTTTCACTCCTACTACTCAGGTACACCCATTGACAGGAACAAAATGCTTGCTTATTGTCTATTTGCCCTGACGCTCGTCGCCGGTGTTTTTGCTGGGGAGCCCCATCTCGAGTTGGAGCCGGCCTTTACAATGCGGGTATTTTTGCGCATTTTTTATTTCTGAGATGGGCTCGTACTGGTTGGAGCGCATGGCTAACATGGGTAGGCTGGTATTGAACCTGGGATTACTACCGGTCCGGTGCACAAAGGGTATACGATTACCTTCGTTGTACGTCCCCACCGCTTCTACCCCTCTTGGCCGCTTTGGGGGAATTCGGACGGAGATTGACAGGTTTGCTAGAACTCCCCGAACGGGACGATCGTCAGCGCCCCAGATGCCAAAACCACTATAAATGCCACGATCTTGGGCGGTGATGACTTGATCCACATCGACCCCCAGGGAGGAAATTTCAGACTCGATGTCCGTGGTGTCGCGAAGTACATACCCCCCCCATCCCTTCCCCCTAGGAACCAGACATCTGTAGGATAAAGAAAGAAAAAAAGCGAGTATCTGACCAACTTCATACAGAGATGAATCCGGAGCCGTGAGTCTGCTCGGCCAGTTTACCCTACTCGCCCTAACTAATATTTAGATCTTCAAATTCGGTTACACCGGTGTCGCCATCCCCAGTGAGGAAATGACCAAGGCCTTGACCCGCCAACCTGATTCGAAGACCACAGAATTTGGAAACATCCAAACTCATCATACTTTTGAGACTCCGGTACGTGTGGTCATCCTGGTTTTTGGGGTGCTGGTGTTGGGCTAATGGAAATTTTCATCGCAGGTTGCGGCAACCGATTTGGCGGGGTTGAGTAATGACCAATTCATGGGCATGGGTAGGATCCTTGTTAACCCGGATCGGAGCGTCACCGTGGAGTATGTCGTTAGCAGGGTTGTTATCGTAAAATGAGCGTGGTGGGGTACGAATTGGGGATGGGTGGGAGAGTGAGAGAGGGAAAGGGAGGGGCATTTTAATAGATGTTGAGTAACTTGAGATTCAAACGAGATGTATGGTGAGATGGCGGTAATGGAATATATGTTGCAACACGAATTTAGGGATGGTGGTGGCAGTGATCTAGTGTCTGTCATACGGACCGCCATACAGCGCTTTCCAACTCGGGGCAGTTCCTCAGGCGAATCTCTACCTAAACCTTGCGGAGTATGATACCTTATGCCGTGCACCACAAGCGCAGCGTTTTTTCCCAAAGTCCTCATGCACCACCCCTTGCCGCCCTAGAAAAATGCCTGAGAAACGACAGAGCAGCAGGAACCTTTTTAGATGGCCATATCCCGATACCCCCCGAATGAGAGGAGCAAAGAAGCATTTCCAATGGTCAGAAGCACCGTGCCGTACTTTGAACTTGGAAGTGCGTGGGAACTTTTGTGAACGTGGCTGCGGGAGGCTGCTCGATAAGAAGCCGACACGTCCGGGGCACCTACCATACCAGTGAAAACCGGGGGGGAGGGAGGGAAAAAGCAACCCTTCCACCCCCCCCCCCAGCATTGGTACCAACAGGCTCACATTTCCCCACAGAGAGTTATCACACTTGTAGCTCTACCTTTCCACGGACCTCAGTTGAAGCGGTTTCGCGTGCCGCTCCACCCCACCATATAATACTAGCGACAAACATATGGTACGGTAACCCAAACCGCATCTCCAAAAATCGAAAATCTCCAAAATCTCCAAGATCTCCGAACCCCCCCCCCCACCTCCCCATTCGCACAGCAAGAGCCGGATGCCACATGGAGCGGTATTGTGAGTTACCACAACACCGTGCTAGCCGAGGTGGTGGTCTACCATACTCGGCAGTGCGCATAGGGTACGCACATCCACCCGCTTCCTCTCTTCTGTCCTTGCAAGGTCCCCCCGCCCGTTCAGGCCGCGAGAAAAGGTCAGGAAAATGGGTTCGTATTCGGAATGGGCTGCGTTGCGCATTTCAAGTGTGCATGGGGATGAGAGGCGCATTAGCGCGAATCCCGGTAGCTGATGGTTGCACAGGACTTTCCCCAACCGTGCCTTGTGCCGGTTGCCAAGGACGCACGGCCATGTTGGGGGATGGGGATGGGAGGGGCGCTGAGTGACGTTTGGGTGTGTGTGGTGGGAGTTGGTCCAGTTGGGTTGTCTCCATAGTCTGGTCTGCCGGTCTGCTTGTACTCGTACCAATAATGCCAATAATTTACTTGTTTGATAAATTAGAAACTCTTGGTCGCTTGGGGGGCTGGGGATTTTGGTAAGGGTGGTTGGTGGGGGGGGTTGGTGGGGGGGGGGTGGCTCAATCTGGCGTAGCCTACTACGGTACTGTACAGTACTCGAGTATCATAAATGGTTTGTTTTCTTGTCTTTCTTCTTTAGGACATCATACAGGTACCGATACCGATATTTGCAGGTGGGGTGATACCGTAATTAAACAATGGAGGCATCGATCGATTAATGGGGCTGAGGTTGAGTGTTCCCCCGCGCCGGGTGCTCGCTCGAACGGGGGAGCGGAAGTCGCGCCAAGACACGGAAATCGATTGGTGCAATTGCGGTATCACGTGAGGGGGTACTTAACCTCCGACTACTTTTAGTTGGCTGATGGGGTACTGTACCGTACTGTACAGCATAGTTGAGCACTACTTGTACCGTATCTGTTGCACATTATTGGAACGGTGACGTATTATCGTGTGTCCAAAGTCTTTCAATCAATCTCTAATCAACTCGGCCCCACTGTGTACAGTACTCTACGAGTCCTTGAGCCCTCTCCCAAATACGGTACATCCCATGTAAAGTATTTTACACACGCAATCACGCTACCGTACAGTACTCGTACTAGAGTGCATCTCGGATATGATTGTGATGGTGAAGAATGGCTGTGCCCCCCGGATTGTGGTAAATATTCCCCCCCGGCATGGGAAGGAGGAATAGAAGCGAGCGGGATATAGAACAGATTCTTCTACGCGCTGAATCTAAGAATCAACTTCTACTTGTGTGCGACAAGTCGCATTGTAGATTTTCCAGGATCTGGGTTATTCCATCCTCCTCCCCCCTGGTTCTGATTCGAAGGGTTCGGAGATGCGGAAACTTGTATTGTCGGTCGACCGATCCCAGGATAGCGATTCTCTCCACAAATTGGGGGTTGTATCACATACCAGGTGGGGGGGGTCGGTAATTAAGCGCCGCCGGATGAGATCGGATGGAGCCCCGTTTTCCTACTGTACTTGTACGGTATTGGATTTACTTGTAGCTGGATTTAATATTTCATCGTGGCCGCGACCTCTGTGCCCTGCCGATCAGGCTACACTGCAACAAACCTTCCCTATTAACCTGAAAAGGTAGTCGTCTTGAAAGTCTGGCGAACGGGAGGATGGCAGCCGGTGGGCGAAAGCCGAGAGATGGAAAGGTTGCGCTGACGGTTTTCGTTAACCCCGCCTGCGGCCCCGATTCCGATCCCCCGACCGACCAAATGGGGAGATTGAAACTCTAATGTGCCGTACGGTACTCGTGCAGTACCGGCATTAAGTTACCCGAGTGTATTAACGCGGTAGAAATTCACTCCTCATTCTCGAGTTTCCTTTCTCGAACCCGCCTACGACGGAAACGCAAGTGGACTCGCGGCTACAACCTCACTCACGTGATTGTTTGTGCACTTGGAGGTGCGGTATTGCAGTCAGTTGTGGGACAGGAAACGGCGCTGGAAGGGTTGCCTGGGGCGTCGATCGATCGGCGCGCGAGATTTGGCGGCAACGTTTACGGCGCATCCGGCCGGGGTTTGAATTTTCTCTGCTTTTGAACTCCACACTTGCTTTTTCCGATTAACTCTGATCTGGCTTGCTTGTTGTTTTTGCTTCCTGATCTTTCCTGGTTCGCTTTTCAAGTTGCCTTCCCGCTAGGACCGTCCCTTCGCTTCGCATTTCTGATTCCACGAAAGAACCTGTTTACCCTTGCCGTATCATACCCACGTCATAATCTTAGCCTAGAACAGACACCCATCGTAGCATAGTGGCCATTAATAGCGTTAGCGCGCACTCCTGGGACACCGTACTCGGGTAATCGAATCGAACAATAGAAGTCGGAGATAGACTGAGAGTCAGTACGAGTACCGGTATGAGTACATACGGTACTCAAGTACTGCCTGGCCCCCACCTAACTCTGTCTGAGTAAGCCCTTCTGATATCACTCTCATAGGAGCATCCCACGCCCTATGGAGGGGGGCTTGAGAGCTGAGGTGTGATATTTGCCGTACGCGATAATGATACACCCGGGGATTGTACTCGTACTCGTAGGGGAAACACCTTCATTTGATGCCCACTTTCAATGCTTTTTGCATGTATCTCATACAGACTGACTTGGGGGCTGACGCATATAATAAGAACTGGGTATAACTTCTGTTGCAGCTGACGGACGTAAATTAAAGAGTTCTCGCATTGGAGAATTCCGGACAGAGGGGAATGTGGTTTGATGAATTCACTTCGCTCGATTGCCGCAGAAATACGGGCAGTGTGAGGAAGTCTGTACCACTGTGTTATTTTGTACCGGTATTTGATGGGAAGCCTGGCTGATTGTTGGTGTGTTACGTCCGGTTCAGTGTTATCCGCTAGAGGTCACCAAGTATTCCCTATGCAACCTAAAAGAATCTTCTTGGACACTTTCCCTCTATTGGGGACGCGATGGTGTTTATAGTCGCTTATACACAACTGCGCGGGTGTGATTGCTACGCTGGATAAATGGTTGCTCCTTGGAAACAGTTAAGCGATGGGGTTTTCCCGGTGGAACGAGAACTTGGAGAAGGCAATAACCGGCCGGTCGGAGGCATTCGGGCATCGGAGCATCATCAGGGGAGTAGAAGGGCATAGAGGGGTTTATTTCTGCTTGAGCCATGCCTGGGGTTTTATAGGAAGCATTAAAGTTCGTTTCCTCAACTCGTAAGTGCCTATTGATCATTCAAATTAGGAACTTCGAGATCTCATCTTTTTCCCCGCCTCTGCCTTCGCCGGCAAATCTGACCAACCCATGACGCCCGAGCCGACTTGGGGTTCTGAAAGCCAAGCGAGAGCAGTCCACACCATCCGTCTATCCTTCCCTCCTTCTCGTAGGCGGGGCAAAAACAAACAAACAGAGGATTTATCATAACAAGGAGAGTTCGGTGGGCATGTTCTACTCTTCGGGAATTTCCCTTGTCCCTCCAATCCTTCTAATCCTCTAGATCATTCAATGTTTTCCAATATCTCAGTTGGTCCTTTGGATCAATGGGGCGGTACTTTCCGGTCACCCCCCCTCCGTTCCGATCGCTCGGATACTGGCTTGACCAGTACAACTCTCCCAAATTCTGGGAATCACGGATAAACGAAAGAGATGAGCACGGAATAATTACCGGGTAATGGCGATTTTCCTCGAACCCCTATGGCACGATTGATGTAGGGGTCTGAATGGTCATTGGTAGGGGCTCCCCAGCGGGGAATTGGATTTTACGTTGTTAATTTTCGAAACAGGCATAAAATTGTGGTTGCATCCTAGCACGCACTGTCTGGCTAATGGAACTGATTTAGGTTTCGGGTAGCAAACGTCGATATCTCGCCCTTGCATCCATGTCTCGTGCTCATCCACGCCACAACCAAGCCTGAGGATAATATCCTGATCTTGCGGGGATAGGGGAAGGGAGGTCTGGTCTATTGTGACCTCACTGATGAAATCGTCAGGTATAGTTTACTCTCCGGACTTGCCATTTACTGGTGCTATTGAATGTTGGATTGCCTATGGGCTATGTGGTTATTGGGCATGTGGGTAAGGGGTGCCCAGAGATTAGGCACACGGCAGCAGATTGCTGTTTTTATATCCTACGATGGCAGTCACAGGATAACTTACTGGTGTTCGCTTTGCCGATACCTTTTGCCATCGGGTATCGGGAATCTGGTGATGGCTTCAGTTTGTTGGTTCATTCTACGCTCTTCGGCATCGGGTGTTGGCATTTTGGGGGGGGATTGTATTAGAGCCTTTGTGGTACTGGTGGATTGTTGGTTTGGTTTTTTGATTTTTCCACATAGTTTTTGTTGTTTCAGGAAATGTTTCCCT